ATGAGTCTCATGGATATTCCAAATTTTGACCCTTTGTGGAGGAGGTACCAGAGGGAGTGAACACATATATTCCACCTTTACATCATACCTTGGATTAATAAAAATATTGTGATGTCCGTAATTTGAAGACAATCGAACTCTTACATCACATTTTATAAGAGTTATAATTATTCAAAATGTTGACCCTTTGTGGGGGAAGTGCTTGATGCAGTGGGTTGATATTGTCTAGTTTAGCACCCAACCTAGCACTGACGCAAATATTAGTATTTGCAAAGTTGGAGCAAAATTGGATAACCCTTTCTTTTTCTGTGCAAAAATATATTTTTTAAAAATTTCGACCTTTTGGGGGTGAGGTATCAGAAGGTGTAGACCGATATACTCCATCTTAACACCAGACCTTGGGTTGATGAAAATATTGGGATGTGTGGAATATGAAGACAATCGGACTCTTACATCACATTTTATAAGAGTTATAATTATTCAAAAATTTGCCCCTGTGGGGGGAGGTACTTGATGAAGTGTACCGATATTGTCCATTTTCGCACCTGACGTAGCACTGACGCAAATATTAAGATATGAAAAGTTGGAGCGAAATAGAATTATCATTTCTCTTTTTGTGCAGTAATTTATTTTCTTTGATAATGTTCACATTTTGTGGGGGAAATACCAGAAGGTGTGGACCGATATAGCCCATCTCCGAACTCGTTTAATAATAATATTACGATGTGCCATGTTTGGACGAAATCGGATTTTCTCTTTGAGAGTTATTGTTCGCACCAGACAGACAGACGGACGGACATCGCTAGATTGACTCGAAATGTTCTGAAACGGATTTGGTCCAAAGAGATCTAGGGTCTAAAACCGTTATTTCAATGAGGCACGTTTTGCCCATATCAAATGATATATACCCTCTCTAGACATATGGCATGGCATAGAGAGTGATAAAGAATAAATAATTTAAGAGCTGCTGATGAGCTATTTTGTTCATTTAGGTGTCAAATTCAGCTAAAGAATTGCGCTTCCGGGGGACATCATTGTCCAGGCATATATCAATTGGAAATGCAGGATTAATAGAGTTTTGTTGCAGATAAAATAAACCTCATCAAAATATTTCTGCTGTGAAGGTATTCCTGCTATTAATTTAGGTATCAAATTCAGCTAAATAATTGCACATCCGGGGAACACCATTGTCTAGGCTTATATCAATTGGAAATGCAGGAATAATAGACTTTTGTTGCAGATCAAATAAACCTCATCAAAATATTTCTGCTGTGAATAATTGCTGTTATCTTATAAATGTTTTTTTAATATGCTCTTCGTTTACTTTTTGCAATTTTTTCTCTGGAGAGAGAAGATTCATTCTCAGTAGATTCTTACTGAGTAAATGTTACTCAGGAGGTAAACGAACAGACCTAATAATTGTGTGATTTTGAAAGTAAATACCATATCCATATATCCATTAAATTCTTTTGTATTCAAAAGAATATCACATTTCCACGAAATCTCCTTTTTGAAACATGGCCTTAATCATAATTTCCGCTAATGGCTTGAAAGATCAACAAAACTATTTTTAATTGGAAATTTTTGTGTTCTACTTTTATTAGTTTGTCTGCCTGTCTTTTTTTTAGAAAAATATCAAGATCAGGATAATATCACAAAAATACAACCAAATATTTGTTTATACATATTTTTTTGTTTTTTATTTTTTCGAACGGAAATTGTGATATTAACAATTACAACAACAACATCAAAAGTGGTGTCTATGAGTAATAATAACAATACATAAGTTATGTGATGAAGTGCTGTTGTGTTATTTATCAAAGCACTTGTCTCGAAGACATGTTTACTTGGCTTATTTAAACTGTTTTCGATTGTAAAAAATTTATAATATTGTAAAATTGGGAAATAATTGAGGTGGGGTAGAATTTTATACGCATTACGCCATGGCACATAAATATATAAATAAAAGAATATAAAAAGGTTAAACGGAGGTTTTCTGCAAGTCGTTCAAAGATAAAAAGCCTTAGTAAAACTTCCTTTTCAAAAAAAAAAATATCCACTTTGAGATAACCTTCTAAAGGGCTCCTATGGAAAGATGATGTTCTAAAGGTATTTTTAGAAAAAAAAAACTTCTAAAGTTATTGTTACAAGAAGTGATTCCCTAAGTTTTACTACTCATGCCAGAAGTTCCGCAGTTCTCCTAGAGTTGGAAGATTTCTGTGGGTCTGCTACTGGCAGAAACACCTCTTAATTTCTTCTGTAGACAGAAGTCCTTCCGAAGGTCTCACATTGACAGAATACTTTCTGTTTCCCCTCTAAAGGCAGAAGCTCTCTTAAGACCTTCTATGTAGATTTCTCGTATATACGGAAGATTTTCGACTAGAAGTCCAACTATAGACTAAGACCTTCGGAAGGTTTCCTCTAGAAGATTTTCTGAAAATCTTCTTCGGTAGCTTTTGAAAGTTTTTACCGAAGACTTTTTGACCTTCTGAATATCTCCTATTGACAGAAGACCTTCCTATCCCTTTAGGTATATAACCCATTGTGAAGAAATGTTGTAAAGAAAATCTATTCAGAATTCCCAGATAATATGCCTCTTAAAAATCTATGGAAGTAACTTAATCTTTTGAAGTTCTTCTACACAACACCAAAAAAAGTTGTAGTAAAGGAAGTCTAAGTCCAACTATTTCAAAAAAAATTTTAAATATTATTTTTCAAAAAAAAAAAAAAATTTTCTGAGCAAAAATATGTAAAGAATGTATTTTCTTAAAAACAATCTTGGAATTAAAAGAAAACATTTTTTAAATTTTTTAAACATTTTTTTTTAATTTTAAGTATCATCAAACCAAAATTCTGGTTATGTTAAACTACTTCAATGACTTATTGATTAAAAATCTCCAATTTTTTTTTCAAAATATTTTCTTTAAAGAAGCCAGAATGGCCAAAAATTGTGGAATTTTTATAACTTTCAACATACTATGGAGTATATATTAAGTTTGTTTTTATAAATACTATCTTCAAAGAAATTTTGGATTTAAAAAAATATTGGATTTAGATTTTTTTTTTTTTTGAAAAAAAAATCAGTTTTTTATAAAATTTATTTAAAAAAAAGTAAGTTTTAATTTTTTTTTTTCTTAAAAATGCTATTTCAAAATATGTTTTTTAAATATTATTTTTTCGGAGCAAAGTTGGCATGTCTGTTCGGGATACCATAATATTTTTCTGTTGCAAAATAGTTCGGCTTATTGTCATTATTGTCATTATTGTTGTTTTTACGTTTGTTTATTAGTGTGAAAGATGGTATTGTTTACCAGGGGGAAAAGGCAGGGAATACCTATGTTTTGGAAAGAGCCACCAATTCTGGATCAGCATAACAATCTAGCGAGACTGACAGTTCTTCTGTACAAAATACTCTAGCTTCCGAAAAAACGAAATGAGTAGTTCGATCAATTTTTACTCAGATGTATTTTATATCTGCAGGATATGGGCCAAGTAGGTCCACGTTACGGTATAGCCCCCATATAAATGCAACGCGCAATTTTAATCCAAATTTGCTGTAAATTGGCCCCATACCACTGTACCCCCTGTATATTCGGTATTTTGATGGTTTCCGTCACACTTTTCACCGGAAATGTTTCAAATGTGGTATTTGGCGTTCGTAATGGATGCTACCTCCTATGACAGAAAAATGCTCATACATGTCCATATCTTCCTATAGCCCCATATTACGGTACATCTCAATATTCGGTATTTGAGGAGTATAGCTGCATTTTTCAACAGAATCATCTTAAATTTGCTTTTTGATTGCTTCGTAATAGCCACCGTCTTCTCTGTCAGAAAATTGGCTAAAAAGATCAAAGTTTTTGTATAACCCACATATAACTGTACCTCCATATATTCGATATTTTTATGATTTCTGACACACTTTTTACCGAAATTGTTTCAAATTTGGTATTTGGAGTTCGTAATTGATACTATCTCCTATGACAGAAAATTGCTCTTACAGCCCCACATTTTCGTGCAACCTCCATATAACTATACCTCCCTATATTTGATAATTTGATCTTTTTAGCTAAGTTTTTCAACAGAATTATATCAAACTTGGTGTTTGAAGTTCGCTATGGGCACCACCTTCTCTGGCAGATAATTCTCTATAGATGTCCAAGTTTTCCTCTAGCCCCATATAACCGTAACACCTGATATTCCGATTTTTTTAAATTATTTAAATTTTGCAAGTTCCTTGCAAATAGTAGAGGATAGTGCCGAACTAAGCTAAAATTTCCGAGGATTAAAATAATTGTTTACGAACGTTTTTTCGTGATTTTTTTCTGTCGAGAACCGACGGTAACAATATAATTTTAAGACCATTTTTCCAAGGACCTTCTTGTAAAAAAACCTTAATTGAAAATTTTTTAAAAATTTTTTTTAAAACATTTATTGCAAAAATCGTTTAAAGAAAAATTTTACAAAAATCTTAATTTTTAAATATTTTTTTAAGTTTTTTTTTTTTTAATCGTAGGATTCTTACAAAAATCAGTGCATTATTCAGATATTTACTTTTGCTAAAATCTGGTTTTTTAATACCGTTTTTAAAGTTTTTTTCCAAATATGTTGTTTTTTAAGACATCTGACTTAAGGGTTAAAAAATGTTTTTAAGAAATATATTAGGCAAAATCGTTTTTTTTAATTTTTACAGAAATCCTGGATATGTAGGAATATTGGTTTAAGAACCTTTTTTAGAAAATCGTGGTTTTACTAAAACATTTTTTTAAAGAAAATTTATTTTTTAAATCTATATTTTCCAATCGCGCTTTTTTTTTTAAAAAAATATTGTCGTTTAAGAAACCATTTAAAAAACCTTCATGCAAAAAATTGTTGACATTTTTAAAATTATTTCCTAAGAATTTTTTTAATGGCCTTCAGACAAAGAATGATAGAAAGAATTGTTAAATTTTGATTTGTTTCAAGAATTTTATTTTAAGTTTTCTTTTAATTTTCAGATTCCAATGGATTTTTATCGTGAACTAAATAACATTACCGATATTTCGGAATTCATAGAAAAATTTATTGATCCCGACAGTATAGATCCGAAACTGGGCATACATGGTAGGTCGGAAAAAAATTTAACAAGAAAAAAACACAGAACTCTAATCTCTATTTCATATTTTTTTTACAGAAAACATTCGCCGTAATGTTGAAAGAGGTAAATAATACCACATTTATTTATTTAGAACATATTTTTTATTTAGAACTTAATTTTTCTGTTAACAAATTTCAGCATCTTTTGTCCGAGCCAAGTCAGCCAGTTGTATACCCGAACCAACCGTCGTTGATCTGGCACCCATCAATCCCAAAAATAACTTTTTCCCCAGATGTACTCGTGTCAAGCGTTGCGGTGGTTGTTGCAACACCCCCTGGATGTCGTGTCAGCCGACTAAAACCGAAATTGTCAATTATCAAGTCTATCGTTATTGCTACGAACATGGTGCGAAATTTTGCGGTTTGGATATAATACCTGTCGAACAACATTTGGAGTGTAAATGTGATTGTCGGGTTAAGCCGACGGTGAGTTTAGTTTTTTTTTTTACAAATTGTAGGAAATTATGTTTAGATCTACAAGTGTGTAGGAGTCCTATGGAAGGTCTTCTACCAATGGAATACTTTCAGAAGGCCTCCAATATATGCAGGGTGAGACGAAAAAACCGTAACCATCTTCAGACTACTGTCATTTCTAAGCCTCTCATCCAACAGTTGTTAAAATTATTCCAATGACAGCTCATTATATTGTTTACAAGCGTACAAATGTATTTTGGTGAGAATTTTCCAGAAAAAAAAGGTTTTTCGTGATGGAATTCAAGCGTGATAGTATGATTTCTTTATATTTGGCTGGAAAACCACAAGCGGCTATCATTAGAGCACTCCAGCATTTAAAAGTGAATAAATCTTTTGTGTATCGTACCATCGCTCTTACCGCTCGCTACTAGTAGCGTAGCCCGATCTTAAGGAAGTGGACGGAAGAAAACAGCAATATCAGCAGAAATGGTTCGAAAAATAAAGAAGCGACTTGATCGAAACCCGCATCGCAGTGGCCGAAAAATGGCTCGTGAGCTGAACATATCGCAATATTCCACTCGGAAAATATTGAAAAATGAGCTCGGGGTAAAGCCATTGAAATTCCAAAAAGTGCAAGAACTTACACCGCAACAGAAAGAAAATAGATTCAAAAGAGCTAAAGAGTTGCTTCGCTTGGCCGAAAGTGGTAAACTGCCGAATTTGGTTTTCTCCGCTCCGATGAAAAAACATTCGTTGTCCAGCAGTTTGTAAACAAACAAAGTGGTCGTGTTTACTTGCCAAAGAGGTCAACTGAAAATGTGCATCTTCGGTTGGCCACCAGAACTCAAGCGCCGGCCATGGTGATGGTGTGGGCCGCCATAACAGCCAATGGTCGCTCTCCGCTCATATTAATCGACCGTGGCATCAGAATAAATGCCGAATATTATCGCGAAAATATTTTGGGCGGTGTATTAAAGCCTTGGGCATGCAAACATTTTGGCCGCAGGCCTTGGACATTCCAAGAATGGTCACGAAGTGAGGTTCCTCGTTTCATTTCCAGCGCACAATGGCCACCAAAATCCCGGGATACCAATCCGCTGGACTATTGTGTTTGGAGTATTTTGGAAAGCAAGGTTGGCACTAAAAAGGCAAAAGTGTCGATTACCTCAAGCAAACGCTTCGCCAGGAATGGGCCAAAATACTGCAGGCCAACATTCGGGCATGCCGGTTTCATTGGCCGTTTGAAGGCCACAATTCGTGCCAAATATAAATTTATTCTAAAATTTGATGCTATTTCCGACATTCATTCAATAAAATTTAAAAAAAGGAAATGTAAAAATTATGGCTTTTGTTTTTGTTGCAGTTTTTTATCTCACCCTGTAAACACCATGTAATGCGAATTCGGAATTTAATACTTAAAGAAATATAACTGAGTTTATGGGCGAGAAGAGAAAAGTTTTAGTTCCTTCGCCTACTCTCCCTCTCTCTATATATCGCTCTCTTTCTCTTTCTTTCTCTGCCAAATACACAACAATTTCGAATAATTTTTTAGCAGATTACCCCAAATAAATTAAATAAATCTCTTATCCCTCCAGGATTGCAATGCCTATCAAACCTATGACGAGTGTCGCTGTCACTGTACAAACACAGAGGCGCGTGACAAGTGCCTAGAATTGGAGCACAAAGATTGGGATGAGAATTCATGCCGCTGTGTCTGTCGACATCCTGAAAATTGTACAACCGGTTCCTATTATGACGAGAACCAATGCAAATGTCTTCTGGTGCGTATAAAACCGATACTAGTCTAATACGATATCTGTAAAATAGAAGAACAACTTATTTTATATATTTTTTTTACATTATTTGTTAATTGTTATTGTTTATATTTGTTGAAATATGTGTTATATATTATTTTTGTTTTTGTATGTTGTTATATATTATATACTAAAATATTTATCATCAATGGAATTTGTATGTTTAAAAAATTGTTATGTATTTTGTTATAGTTTGTATATGGGTTAGGGTTTTTGTAGATTGAAATCTTTTAAACACAAGGTGAAGGGACTTATTATTATTTAAATATAAATATTTGTAGTTATAAATAAGTTTGAAAGCTTATGCAACAAAATCCTACAGACAATGACATTGATGATTATTGACAGTACCCAGTGATTTCACTTGAATCTTACATCTGAAATGAAAGGACAAATCTGAATATTCTTTCAGAATTGAAAAGGATTAATACCACTGTGCTACAAAATTCAAAATTTTCAATAATTACAGGAAAAACCACGTTGATAAGAAAAAAAGGAATAATGAAAAAAAGATAGAGGACACGTGTATCGACGTTTTTAAATTTTAAAGTAGATTGGAGAGACTTGTTCCACTTCTAAACTTGTCTCTCCAATCTCTCCAAAATTATCCTCGGATAACTTTCAATTTAGGTATATAATGTTTGCGGCAATATTTCTGATAAAATACGAGGATTAAAGGGGTATTTTGTGGCCATTTTCCAAAATGGTTATAAATACAAAGTTTATATCGCATTGTAGACTGGGGAGCAAGTTCTATCGTTTTTTTTTTTAATTTTCGGATTAAGATTCCTCGGAGTATTTTAATTTTAGACATATAGTAGCTTCGGCAATATTTCTGATAATAATACGAGGATTTAAGGATATTTTTGGTAATTTTTTTTTAAATATGGTTTAGAATTCATAACAAGACAAAATTTTCTAAAAATTTTTGACATAAAATTCTACTTAAGATCTACACAAAACTTCAAAAATCCAAACCTTACCTAAACGCCAGATATCCATAAACATTCAAAACACATGTTAATTCATACTTTATGTGAATTAATCCTGTATTTATTCTCCTACAAAGCATCATTTTATAAGGATTACGTAATAGACAAAAATATTCTTCATCAAATTTTAATAAAAGTCACCGAAAATCTCAATTTCGGTTACACATCGAGAAAATTGTGAAATTATTGTTGGCGAAAAGACGCGAACATATTTTCTTATTTTTGATAAATATTTCTTCTACCCATATGGCTAAAGAGGGCATATATCATTTGATACGGTCAAAACGTGTCTAGTCGAAATAACGGTTTTAGACCCTAGGTCTGTATGGACCAAAGGGTAATCCGATTTTGCTTCAACTTTGCAAATCCTAATGTTTCCATCAGTACTAGGTCAGATGCAAAAGAACAATATTCGTCCACTCCATCAAGTACATCCCCCACAAAGGGTCAAAATTTTGAAAAATTATAACTCGTCCTTAAATTTTACACATCCCAATTTTTATATTAACCTAAGGTCTGGTGTTAATACTTGCGACAGTTCTAGATCAGGTGCGAAAATGGATAAATTTTGAATGATTATAACTTTTATAAAATCCGAAATAAGGTTCTCTTTATTTCACACATATAAAAATTTTTGCTAACGAAGATCTGTTGTGAAGAAGGGATATGTCGATCTTGTCCTTCTGGTACCTCCCCCACAAAGGGTCAACATTTTGAATATCCATGAAGCCCATAAAAAGCGAAATCATCATCCGATCCATTCCAGACTTGGTACATCTCATTATTTCCATCAACACAAGTTCTGTTATAAAGATGGTAGAGATCTGACCATTTCTTCGGGTATCTCCCATACATAGAGTTCAAGATTTTGAAAAACAAAATGCTCAAAAAAACGAAATAACAATTCCACACATACAGAAATTTTTGCTAAAACGAGATTTGTTGTGAAGATGATATATATCTGCGTACCCCTTCTGGTACATCACCCACAAAGGGTCACAATTTTCAATACTTATATCTGTCATAATTTGCGAAACAAGTCAGCGATTCTTTACAGATTGCCGTATGTAATGTTTCAACCAGAAATCTGAGATAAATAAAGAATTTATGATTTCGCATAAATTTGGATATAAATGTTCTATTTTCTTGTAAGTTTTCCCATACCAATATTTTTTTCTGTATTAAAGGAAATATGAAAGTGGAATACTTCAGTCGACTATATCGTAAAATGTAGGAAGTAGTCGATATAGTCCAATCCTGGCACTTCGGAATATTTATATTGTATTTTTTAGGCACGATACGAAATTGACAATATTGGCCCATTCCTTCAGAACCCACTCCAAAGAGGGTCAAGAGTTTGAATAATCATAACAGAAGTCAACATATATTTACATAATATAACATTGGGTGAGGGTATATGTATACGTTGTCGGCAGAACCGACTGATACTTTTTAGCTTGTTTTTAGTACAGTTTAATCCTTTTCGTATTCTTTTTGTACGATTTCCAAAGCCCAGCCTTAATACGCACCAATGCTGATCTTCCTGCAAAATTCCATTTTCTAACTTCAGCCTTTTCGTTTCTGATCAGTCATTATTTCACTCCACTTTGTTATATAAAATTATTATAGCTTTTGTGGCGAATGAACGAGATCGAGTATGCAAATATTTTCAATATTCACACATTTGTTAAAAAAAAAACTTACGAAATGCAAAATTTGGACGTTTGGGCATAGCTATATCCACCTCCATTGGGACGGATTCTGTACAAAGACACACGTTTTCTAAAAACATTTATTTCTTTGAGGAAAATCTTTCAGTATATCTAAAGCAGGGTGCATAAAAATCGTTAAGTTCGGCAACATCAAAAATAAAATTTTATGCAAATCGGTGTGCGGAATATGGCCCTTTGTTGTACATTTTTGGTAGGAGAGGGAAATGTATAATTGGAAAACTTAAATGTATAATTGGAACATATACCATGGATGAAAAAAAATCAGATTAAACGTCAATCTGTATTTTCGTGTTGGTTACTATTTTGTTATTTTCCCATAATTGTATATATGTATATAAATATAAATTAATATTTTGTATATACATAAAAAAATCTATACATATGTAAATATATGAGTGTAAAAATGTTATAAAATTTTACATGTTTTTTGTGTTTTGTTTTTTCTTTTGTTTTGTTCTTTTTTTTTTGTAGATATCTTCCATTGGCAGCGTTGATGGAAGTGAAGTGAATTAAAATCCGCATACTCTCACACAAGAAATAATATGCAACTAAATACATACACATGCAAACTACACACAAACACATAGAAGTCCTTACACCCAATTAAATTAGTTTAAAACACCATCTGCAAGATATCGGGATTTTGATTTAAATATGTTTTGTTTCTTGCCAATTATCTTTTGTTTTGAAATTAAAATGCAATATCGAACATTTTTTGTATTTTTGTCGCCATTGTGTTAGTCAGCCAGCCAGCCATTCATTAGATATTTTGTGATTTGCATTCAAAATGTGTCCACAACCATTTGATTTTTTATTTTATTGATCGTTTAATTGTATCCGCACAATAATGATTTTTTTATGAATTAACAAAAACGAAAAACCAAACTACTGAGTAAATTGTTGTTGTCGTTGTTGTTGTGATGGGTTAACACGCATTTAATTTTTGTTATTGAAATTACCCATGAGTAAGTAAGATTTTTTTTGTATTCTTATCACTTGTTTTCTTTAAGGTGTTTTTATTTAAATATGCAACAATTTATTAATATTCTTTTTTATGAATCATTTTATTTTATTATTATATTTATTTTTTATGAATGAGAAGGAGCCATTGAGTACGTATACTTATTGAAATGATGACATATCTTTGTAACGTATACGCTCCCGGGTAAACTCCATTTGGTGTACAATTAACATGAAATCGGATAAAGATATATATGGGAGCTATATCCAAATCTGAACCGATCTCGATAAAATTTGGCAAAGGTATTTCTGAGCTGTATTTAATACATATGTCTACTTTTCGCCAATATTTAGTGGGCGTTTTTTTAGTTTTCCATTTCGTTCGTGACACATCGAAACATGGTGGCTTCTTAAAAGAATTTAGTCTTAAAAATATTTTTTTAAAATTAAAAAATAAAGTCAAAAGCTAAAAAAAATATTAAAGAAAATTCAAAATATCTTAAATAATCTGTAATTTTAATTTTATTTAATACTACGTTTATTGTTTTGGTGGCTTTAAAAAAAATGTCAACATCTCAAAAAATATTAAAAAATATTAAAAAAAAAAAATAAAAATTAAAAAAATATTTTTAAACATAATTTAGCAAAATTTAATATCTCTAACATTCAAAATCTTTAAAAAAAATATTTGTTTAAAATTTAAAATTTTTAAAAAAATCCAAAATTACAAAATCTAAAAAAATATCAAAACATGTAAAATCTTTGAAAAAAGATTTCTATAAAATATTTAAAAAAAAATTAAAAATTAAAAAAATATTTTTAAACATAATTTAGCAAAATTTAATATCTCAAACATTCAAAATCTTTAAAAAAATATTTGTTTAAAATTCAAATTTTTTAAAAAAAAAATCCAAAATCTCAAAATATATAAAAACATTTAAAATCTTAAAAAAATATTTGTAAAAAATTCAATATTTTTAAAAATCCACAATTATAACCTTTATTTAAAAAAAAATCAAAATCCCAAAATATATGTATTTTTAAAAACCTCCAAATCTCAATAAATATTTTTAAAAAAACCACCATTACAAGGAGACGCCAGCAAATATTTAGGAAAAAAATGAAAATTAAAAGAAATGCTTTAAAAAAATTGGGTCATAAAAAATGTTTTTAAAAATATCTAAATCTCAAAAACTATTTTCAAAATTGCTAAGATTATAGCCATGGCAGTCTCTAAAAAAATAGTTTTTAAAAATTTGAAATATTTAGGAAAAAATGAAAATTAAAAAAATATGCTTTAAAAAATTAGGTTATAAAAATATTTTTAAAAAAATCTAAATCTCAAAAACTGTTTTTAAAATTGCTAAGATTATAACCATGGGGTCTCTAAAAAAATAGTTTTTAAAATTTTCAAAATCTCAAAAAAAATCCACGATTATGGCCTAGGTACCCCATCGAAAAATATTTTAAGAAATCGCTCAAAAAAAATAAATGAATAAAAAAATATTCTTAAATATCCAAAAAAAGGTTCCCATCTCTGATTTGTGTATGTGCAATGGATTTATGAATACAAATTTTGACGATGGGATGAAAAATCCCCCCAAAAAATCTTGCCAACATGACGTTTTTGGCACAACCTTCAACGAAAATGGCCTTCAAAGAAATGTTTACGTATTGGATAAAACAATCAAAGTAAATTACCTGCAAAAATGACCAATTTATTCCCCCGGTTTGATAAAGTCGTAATTAAATACAATTATTCTTCATTAGATTGGGTTTTTTTGGGTGTGGTAGTTAAAAAGGTAAATTGTTCAAGGTTGATAATACTAAAAAAAACGGTTCGGTTTTCCCGCTTATTCATTCATTCAAAATTGATATTCAAAAGTGTGTTAATATAAGTTATTGTTGCATATTTAAAGTAAAATACAAATTCTTTAATTCAACTGTATATATACTCCCCAAAATTTGCATGATCTTGCGTGTTCTATCTAACTTTCTAAAAATTTTATTTGGATCTCAATTAAAAAATTATTGCATGAACTTGATGTGGAAATGGTCAAAATTGAGTATTCATGGAATTTATTATTATTGGGATATCCGTTAAAAACAATCTTACTTCTCTATCTATTACTCTCGTTGTATTACTTTACATTATATGATTTACAAAAAAAACTTGGAAATTTATTAATTGTTTTTATTTTTCCATTTTTTAGCTATCAACCAATGCAGAGAACAGTGATGACATTGCGGTGGCTCCCTTATCCCTGGCGGATCGTCGACGTTTCATTGTCAAACCAATACCGGTCGATACCGACAATAGCACAATTTATCAAGTATAATTACCCAGCTTACTTTAATAATTAATGTGTAATTTGTTCCATTTAAGTAATTGTTTTTTTTTTTAATTATATTCTTAAGCATTTATATTATAATTACAAAATATTTAGTTTAAAGTCGAAAAATGAAATGTCATATCATGACATTGCAGTGGCATCAAATAAAAATTATTAAATGTAGATTCAAATTTCTTTGGCAATTTTGAAAATATTTATGCACAGCCTAAACAATTTCGTGGCAATGAATGTTAATAATTCCAGAAAAAATAATTTAAAGAAGATTGTGAAAAATAATTTTCAATGTAAACTACAATTTACTTTTAAATGTTGTCCAGCTAAAATTTCAAAGATTACCTTCCAAATCATTAAAGTTCTTTTTCTGTCTCAACACATATCTTGTTATCATATCAGTATTTAATACAATTATAATTTAAAAAATAATAATTATAAGTTCATAAAAATATATTTAGTGTCATATAAATATATACATATCTTGAAAAAAAAACCTAAATAACAAATCATTACAAATACCTCTGAAACCTGCAAAAAATTTCCAAAATTGTAAAGTTGTTTTTACATTGGTCCACCCCAATACGTAACATGTTACTTTAGAACTTTAGAAAAAAATATTTGTCTTAATATATACATAGTCATTGTTCTAACATAGCATATGTATCATTTTTGTATTTATGTACTTTAGTGTATTTTTAGTTGAAATTTCCACATGTTAACAACCATAGGCTATAAATAAAGTAAAATAAAATAAATAAAAACAAATATCTTTTTCAATAAAACTCAAAAAATATTTTTAAAAAATCTACTGTTATAGCTTCGGCAATCCCTTAACAACAAATATTTTTTTAAAAATCTAAAGTTATAGCGTCGTTTTGGTGGTCTCTTAAATTCCTTTCTCCGCGATTATAGATTTGATTGTTTCTCAAAGGATATTTTAAGAAAATTGGGTCTATACTACGATAAAAAATATGCCGTTTGACTTTGTTGCTGTTTTTTATCGCACCCTGTATATGGGAGCAATATCTAAATTATCATTAGATTATCACCAATTTAAATAGGGTTCACCCTTGCAAAATCTCACGACTTGATGGTCTCTCAAAAATATTTTATAAAAATCCACGACTTGATGGTCTCTCAAAAAATCCACGACTTGATGGTCTCTCAAAAATATTTTATAAAAATCCACGACTTGATGGTCTCTCAAAAATATTTTATAAAAATCCACGACTTGATGGTCTCTCAAAAATATTTTATAAAAATCCACGACTTGATGGTCTCTCAAAAATATTTTATAAAAATCCACGACTTGATGGTCTCTCAAAAATATTTTATAAAAATCCACGACTTGATGGTCTCTCAAAAATATTTTATAAAAATCCACGACTTGATGGTCTCTCAAAAATATTTTATAAAAATCCACGACTTGATGGTCTCTCAAAAATATTTTATAAAAATCCACGACTTGATGGTCTCTCAAAAATATTTTATAAAAATCCACGACTTGATGGTCTCTCAGGAATATTTTATAAAAATCCACAACTTGATGGTCTTCCTAAAATATTTTCTAAAACCCACAACTTGATGGTCTTTTAAAAATATTTTGTAAAAATCCACGATTGATGGTTTCTAAAAAATATTTAAAAAAAATTAATGACTTGATGGTCTCTCAAAAATATTTTATAAAAATCCACGACTTGATGGTATCTCAAAAATATTTTATAAAAAACCACGACGTGATGGTCTCTTAAAAATATTTTATAAAAATCCACGATTTGATGGTATCTAAAAATATTTTAAAAAAATTAAGGACTTGATGGTCTCTCAAAAATATTTTATAAAAATCCACGACTTGATGGTATCTCAAAAATATTTTATAAAAATCCACGACTTGATGGTCTCTCAGGTATATTTTATAAAAATCCACAACTTGATGGTCTCCCAAAAATATTTTCTAAAAATCCACGACTTGATGGTCTCTCAAAAATACTTCTTTAATAGTCTCTCAAAAATATTTCATAAAAATCCACAATTTGATGGTCTCTCAAAAGTACTCAAAAATGCTTCTTTAATAGTCTCTCAAAAATATTTTTTAAAAATCCACGATTTCTTTCCAAAAGAACTCTTAAAAATCTACAATATCTATATGGATGGTATCTCCACAGACTTTCTTAAAACTGATCATGTTGATAGCAGCCGTTTAAAACTATTAAAAAAAATCTTGAGCTTTCCCAAAATTATTTATAAAAATCGTATAGTTATTGTTGACCTTTCATCAATATATTTTATATACATAAAAACCAGAGGAAAATTTATAAAAATCAAAAAATATTATTCATAATCTGACCTATCAAAAACCTTCTATAAATCGTCCATTTGTTTTTGAAGATCGTTCATTTGTTTGTTTTTAGAATTCACGATTACAGCTTGATGGAATGGCAATGAATATTTGAAATAAATTTTCTGTTGGTTAATAAATACTCTATTTTTTATTTTTTGTTTATAATTGCTCGTTTATTTAATATATATTTTTTTGTAAAATAAATGAAATATAAAAATATTAGTATTAATGGATTTATAACAAATATAATTATAAATTTATTTTCTTTAAAATATGATTGACGATTTTCAATCTTAAGTTTACTTTTTAAAAACAACTACTAGATCGAAAAATAAATGCATGGAAAATATCGTTTCATACTAAATATATATATGGGGATATATCAGTTTAGATATGATTTTTTATAAATAAGGAAAAAACAAAAGGTATTTAAGGATTATAAAAAATAAAATAAATTTCAGGATAGAAAAAAAGATGCATAAAAAATAAAATATTATTGCCAAGTACTACTGGGTTTGTTTGGTTATAAAAAACATTGAGGTTGTAAAATATGACAAGTTTTCCTTTGAGCATGACAATTGATAAAAAAAAATTATGTATTTAATTATACATACTTAATAATTTGCAATCAAAAAAAAAAATAAATATAAAATTTATGAAAGAAACATAAGATGTATTGAAATATACTTCTATTTTTCTTTGGGGAATATAATGTCTTAATGTCCGCTACACTTCCTCTTGAACTTACGAAGTAGTTTTTAAACAACATTACATCTCTATACTTGAGGCAACTCCATCCAACAGGTTCCCTTCTTAAGGGAAAATGCAGAAGAGAGTTATTTGTTAGAAAATAAGAAATACACTTTTAAATGTAAATAGATTCTTCTAAAATTTCGATTCGAATGAAAGGATTTAAAATTAGGATACGTATATGTATTTATGTGCTATATATTTGGCCTGGGCTAAATCATTGCATTCGAATCGAAATATATTTTTAAATTCACGGCCTTAAAATTTTGTATAAATGAATAAAAATTCACAACTAAAATTCGAAAACACTTGGCATTAAGTTTTTCGGGCAAAATCGAATTTCCCTCTTTTTAAAATACACATTTTTTTCGAATGTAAACATATATAAATTATTATTTTTGTAGAGAGGAATATTGCCGGATTTTGAATTGGGTATCATTTTATCTCCTCCTTAAAACCCAAAATTTACAAATATGTTTTTTCGAATTTTAATTGGAATTAATATTAAATTTTAATAATTATTTAATAACTTTAAAAAAAATAGTTTTATTTGTGTGCAGGATGACCCTAACGAAAACTTGTCATAATCTACAACATGCAACCACTGGAAATTAATTTGATTAACCTATTCAAAGAAAATCTAACTCTAAAACTAAAGTCTTTGAGAATTTGAGCAGTTAAACGAGACCATAAAATATTAAAAGAATTAAAAAAAGTGAAATCATAACCTCAAACTGCGTGCGGCACTACGCTTGGGTGCGGGTGGAGCTTGAGGTGAGTTATTTAAACGTTTCATGCCCGAAGCAGTACCCATCAAAGAACGGGGTTTACGTTTTGGCGTAGCAGGTGGAGTATGGGTAAATTTCGTGGGTGTTCGTAAATTGGCAACCGACAAATCCTCCAATGAGGTATTCCCTCCTTGCAACGGATCTTCATCATTAAGCAATGTTGTTGTAGCGTCCGATGGTAGTTGTCCACCAGCAATAGGTTCTATAACAGTTTCCTCAATATGCTCTTCCTCCATTTGTTGCGTTTGTATCTCATTTGTCTGGGCCTCATCGGCGGTCAGAGCAAATTGTGACATCAAGTTACGACGAGTTGGAGTAGTTGCCACAATTGAACCATTTAGCGATTCATATATTATCAAGGCAAACTGCAATTGATTATCTTCCAATTTGCGACGATATGAAATGCGTACACGTGTCTCTAACTCTGAACGATCACGCCATAGAGCACTACGTTGTTTGGCCATCATATTATTGTTACGCAAACGCATTACACCCTTTACTTCCAAATAACGCAGAGGAGTGTACAATGCCTCCATAACTTCCAATTCATCTTCTTCGCTGGATGAATCATCTAAGAGCGTACGTACGCCACCTTCAATATTTTTATTACGTTTACTGGTAGACGGTGCTGTGGGTAAACGTTTCAGATAACTAAAATTACCCGAATGTGTGCGTTTTAAGCGATGCCTTCGCATCAATGTTTCGTTGTTATCGATTTCTTCATCTTCGGATTTCCTATCATGCTCCTTTATAGCACTTGATGGAGGCGTCAGATTACCAATTTCCAATGTACTGGTGTTACATTTTTCCGGTGTATGTATGTAGGCCCCAGCACCAAATAAATTTGCCGACGATGATATCGTCGTAGGTTGTTCATTATCTTCAACATCACTGTCGGCATAGGATTTTAATGGTACCATATCTGGTACTCGATTGATAGGATGTACATGATCGATCGGCTTGGTCGAAATTACTTTTCTATATTGAAAAAACCCAGAGAGTTAATAAAATAGTATTTCTAAATGGCAATAATAAGGGTCTTACGTGCGCATGTGACTGGTTTTTGTTTCGATGGGACCGCATACCTCTGCGTCCAGAAATTCGGTATGTTCAAATTGATTGTTCACTTCATGTCTGAAAGAAAACAGTAAATTATTTTAAAATATAATATGTATAATCTTGCCAAGCTGGTGACTAAAGTGTTTTGGCATACAACACATTCAGGCAAAGGTGTCTGGTAAACTGGTAACTTCCACCATAAAAAAAACCCCAACAAATTCATTGCATATAGAGAGGGTTCGATACTGATCTTAATTTAATATATCCTCCATTGAAGGAAGTCTAAAACTGGCGACCTACTTCAGACTTAGTAATCATAGCTTTAATAGACCCCCTCCTTCTTTGACACTTGGTTAGAGCCATGATAATCTGAAGTTTTCTGACAATTCCTGCATTGCAAAATGCTCATACAATCATAAACTTCATAGCTACCTCAACAGAAGTTACAATTGCGGGAGAAGTTGCCTGATTTTTTTATTTACTATGACACTTTGGGGCTTGGAGACATCAGTGGCACGGCCGCATCCAGCGCTTTTCAGAGGCAATGAATTATCCGCCTTGTTTTTAGTGGCAAAATTTTGATGTACTTCTTCATCATTACTTCTTTATATTCTTTAGTTATAGCACATCGGGTTTCCCGCATTCCTCACCTTCTTCTCCCTCCAAAGCATCTTGCATCAGAAGCAGGGGCTTACTTTATAGGTGGGCGTTCAGAGAAGGCTCGTCCAGCATCTCTCCTGGGATGTTTTGAGCCTTTCCTGACAGCCCGTCACCCTGATGTCCATAGAGTCTTCGTCCAGTCGCTAAGTAGCCATCAATTTGAAGCTTTATCTTAAGACAAATGTGAATTTGATATTGAGAGATATTGTCCTTGCAATAATAGCCTTACCAAACTGAGGATGAAAAGTCGCGATTCAAATATAAGCGGTTTTAATTATATAGTTTAGGGATAATCGATTGCATAGTTCAATTCGCAAAAATCGAATGCAAATATACACAACCCATTGATGTCTCCGTTAAGTCAATAATAATTCACTTGAAGGTGTCTACGTTCCATATCAAAAGGTTAATAAATTGCACTCCTTGTTCTTAACATTAATTTATCTTTCTTTCCGCAGACGTTAGGTGGAACCTATAATTTTAATAGCTGTAGTAAAATGAGCAAAATGCGTAGGACTAGGATACCATTCTTTATCCATATCCTCAGATAACGTCAGTAATTGTCCTTTGACTTCGAAAACATTAATCCAACGATGTATGAATTCCAAAGCTGAACTCATACAAAAATAAAGCGTCTCAAAACATAACTTGAGACTACGATTTAAAACGTCTGTGAAAGTCATGCACATACAAATTTGATTATCACTTCCGAAGCTTAGAACTGGCATATATAATTTCTAATGAAATCTGAAATTGATAAAGTAAAGTGCCGGTAATATTTGTTGTCTTGATATAAAGTTTTACTAGCAACTATATCACATCTATTGTGGTCCCAAAGCATCATTCATGTCACTTCTGGGTTAATTTTTTTTTACTATTAGTTCATAGATCTGCATAACCTTATTGCACTCAAAGGAATAAAACTTTACACGACCTACCTTAAGTAATCATGAATTTTATTGGCACCACGCACAGTTCTTCCATACCAATCGATTACACTGTTTGGAGCCAAATGGTATTTAAAGTCAATGCTGCTTTGCTGAAATAGTTCCAAGTATTTGGTCAAAACATCTCGGGCCTCGGTTGCAGCATTATTCTGGCGAGCTGCAAAACAATCGAAAAAGAAAAGGCAAATAATATGTTTGATTTCATTTTGTCAAACAGATAACAGGAAAAACTAACCTTCCATGCTGTTTGGCTTTGGAATAACAAATCGGCCGTGTGCGTCTGTGCGATCTCGTAGGCAATCTTAGACAAAATATACCGGAACAAAATACTGTTATTTCACCAACGAGTTCTGTATTTATATAGAAAATATATAGTTTATTGTGTAATTCCAACAGTATAGTATTTAGATTTCTATTTTTTATTAGAGAAAACTGCAGCAGCTGCCAACACTTCACACCTCAAATAAAACAATAAGAACGACGAACCAAACCACCTCAGCTGCTATCTGCTATTGAGTGTCACACTGATGTCAGAATGAAGAGAAATGCAAAGAGAGAAGACAAGCAACAAAAAAAAACAATGACAACGGCAATGTAAACAACAACAATATAAAAACACCCCTTAATGATGGGAGAGCGAGAGAGTGTTAGGTAAAAATCTCAGCAAAGGAAATATAAAAATCCCTAGATATTTAGGAAATTTGTATTTTTCCTACTACCTATAAGGATTTCGCCCTTTTAATCTTTAAAAATATGTAATCTTACCAGGTAAATATAGCTAATTATCTTTGTTTCATAATATTACAATATTTAATGCAAACACTCACACACACGTTCGCTCTTTTACATGCATTCACCAACACCAAGCCAAAAATACGTTGAATTTTTCATCGAAGTTTTCACACACAATTTTGAGTTATTTATATATTTCAATAGTGTCGTTTATTTGTAGATGAATTTCTTCGTTGTTGAATTTATTATAAAATTCACATTTTGTGATAATCTTGCAAGGAAGTGGATTATATATTAATACAAAATGAAGAAATCCTGGTGGTGCGTGACAATGTTAAAAAAAGAAAATGACAGATATGTTGGCGCGTCACACAGCTGTCATCCGAGGGAATCAATCAACTGCGAAAAGTGTGTGAAGAAGGAATCGAAAACAGTTCTAAAATAATCGTATGTTTACATTCAAGTACTTTATTGAGATTAGTACTGATTAATGATTTATGGGACGTGAAGTGTTTAAAATGTAACTAAAATGGGACTTACATTAGAAACGATTCGAAAATAAATATAATAAAAGCTAAGTTACTAAAAAATATAATTTATATATATTATTATTATAAATAAAATTTGGAAACGACACATTTGTAAGATATTTTATTTTAAAATGTTGCTGCACTTTTTTAGTTGCCCTTGCGTATTTGGTTATATACAGAAATACAACCTTGAGCCTTTCGGTCAGAATTATTCAAACATTGTTGGTCTTTATTTCATATTTTCTTAATTATTAAAATGAGCCAAAATGCGCGAGAGATGGATAAAATAGCTAGATTTTTTTTTAGAAGGAAACTAGGAAAATTCAACTCTGTACTGGAGTCTTATTATGTCAATTTTTTTTCGCAAAAGTATTATATTGGGGAAAACCCTCAAAGCATGAATGGATTATCTGATTATCTCCACCAAGTCGTGTCGTATAATAAAACTTATAATAATTTACTTATTTCTAAAAACGTTTTAAAATTGTTGACATATTAATGTTCCCAAGAGTTAATGCATCTACCTGCATTCTTCTACCATGATTTGACGTGTTTGCTAAATCCGGTGAAGTGCAAACGTTTTTTAAATTCTGGTGGATAATCTTCACTAATGTAAATGTAAACCTAAACAATTGTAAACGGTTGGACTGTGTACTTGTATTGCAATTGTTCCGAATCTTTTACATTTCCCCTTTTTGCCGAATGTTGATATCATCTTATTAACATATTTAATGTTTACAAGCGCCGATGCATCTACAGGTATTCTCTTACAATGGGTCTATTCCAGAACCTGCATAAATCTGCTATTTTTGCAATTTTCTTCGATATCATAAAGTGTAAATCCGTTATTGTGGTAAAAACGTTTACATTCAAAGATATTGCTGTCATCGATAGTTGTCGCTCTACAAACTTCCTTTATTGCCTCAACATCATTTACAATTTCTTAGCATGTTGTGCTTACGTAATCCACGGGATTTTATGATTTTCGGTGAGCATTATTTAAAAATACAAATGTTTTTGGCTTAGAAATTAAAAGACTATCAACAAGCTGTAATCAAAATCGAAAATCGATTACAAAATGTCACCTTTGCGATTTTCACCATCATCGACGATTAATGAATTGTCGACCTACACATTCCTATGTATTTGAATTCAAACGGTTCAAGCCGCGGCGACAGATTATACACGGACAAGCACACGCAGCGGGAAACTAACGTACTTTTGATCAAATGCAACAAAAACCCAAGTGAAAATTGTTCGGAAAAATAGAAGAAAAATTCCTTTGCACGCTCTTTTGTTGGTGTTTTGTTGCGCGTTCGTGGAATTTGTTAATTAAAGAAGGAAATTCCGCGTATGAGTTTTATTGAGATTTCGTTTGTTGTTTTTGGTGTAATATAGATTTGTGTACTGTGTGTGCCGCCGCGTCGCGTTTCATATGTTGTGTATTAGTTATTACCTGCTGCCAAAAAAATATAAGTGTTATCTTTATAAAGAGGTGTCGATGTCGCATTGAAATTGTCATTAGTGTTTTGTAAGTTGTTTCGCACACAAGAGAAGATTTTTCTGTTCGCAGCAGCCACCGCCGCAGGGCAACAAGAGAAGAAAAACTATTAGCCACCACCATCATCATCACAGGCAGACAGACAGACACCCAAGCAAAGAGTAGTGGCACGCAAAAAAGCAAATTATAAAGGAAGGGTAAGTGAATGGCTAGCCAAAATGAAAGAAACAAAAATTACAAGGGCTTTTATTGATTTATTTTTTCAACAAATTTACAGGTCACAACGTTTGTTTTGCAACAACAGACCCAGTTAGCCAGCTAACAACCAAAAAATGGGCGATTTGGAAAGTGTTCGGGTGGCCTTACGGGTACGTCCGTTGGTGCCCTCTGAGGTCAATCGCGGCTGTCAAGTAGCTGTGGAAAAAGTCGATGGCCAAGATCAGGTGGTGGTCAATAACAGTGATGCGTTCTCCTTTAATTTTGTCTTCGATTGGCGTGACACCCAGGAGCAGGTGTACAACATGTCTGTGTCGGATATGTTAGATAAATTGTTTAGCGGTTTCAATGCCACAATATTGGCCTATGGCCAGACTGGTTCTGGTAAAACACATACAATGGGCACAGCCTTCGATGGGGAGTTGGATGAAAATGTTGGTGTTATACCGCGAGCTATGCACGATATCTTTGAACGCATTAAAAAACTATCCGATCAATATGAATTTGTTATCAAGTGTTCGTTTATGGAACTGTATCAGGAACAACTATTTGATTTGCTGTCGAGTAAACCTCGTGATGAGAGCATTGTTGATATGCGTGAAGACCGTAGCGGCATAATAATGGTGGGCCTGACCGAGCAACAGGTCCACTCGGCCAAGGAGACAACAGATTGTCTGGTGCGTGGTTCGTCGGGTCGAGCAGTGGCTTCGACGGCCATGAATGAGGCTTCTTCCCGGTCACATGCCATTTTCACTGTTACCCTGCAGGCCACCAAAAAAGATGAATCGTAAGTATTGCTGTTCTCTTATCTGTTTGTTGTTGTTTGACAATTTTATTTCGCTTTATATTTTTGCACAAGTTTAGGTTATATGTATGTGCCTGTAGTTGTGTGTTGTTTGATGTGAAGGTGTGCGTACGTGTGCGCGTCTGTGTTTTAAATGTTTATCAATTGTTTTTTGTTTTTTTTTTCTTCTTCCAGGCGAGCAGTTACCACCTCCAAATTTCATTTGGTCGATTTGGCTGGTTCAGAACGTTCCAAAAAGACTGGAGCCACCGGTGATCGCTTTAAAGAAGGTGTTAAAATCAATCAAGGTCTCCTGGCCTTGGGTAATGTCATTTCAGCATTAGGAGGTGAGTTAAAACTTCTAAAAATAACATAAATCTAACAACTTGTGATTTGTTTAGAGACAAAAATCACTAATCTTCTTATATATTGGGCTATTATTCATGCGGAAGCTGATAACTGGTTATGTATTGTTTAGAAAAGCAATTCAAAACAAAGTTGTCATTCATTATTTTGATACATCACTACCCTACAACAATGGCATCGTTATTATAGATTTCGCAAAGAGTTTGCTGGCAATTCAAAACAGAAATCGATATTTATACGCCCGATATTCAGTTGGGTTTATCAAATGTTGTGATGACCTTTGCATAAGAGAGAATCACTTATCAAAACCATTGATTTTCAAGATTGGTATCTGATAGAGAAAGTCATATCTTCAAAATCGATCTATCAGTGAGACACTAGATGGCTAATGGTTCTTTCTATATGTGTGGAACTCTCGAAGGCAGTATCCAATTCGATCCAAACTTGGTACATCGTAATATTATTGTCCAACATAGATCGAGTTCGGAGATGGGCAATATCAGTCCACTCCTGGTACCTACCCCACAAAATATCAAAATTTTCAAAGAACATACTTACTGCACAGAAAGAACAAGGATATCCGATTTTGCTCAATCTTTGCGAATCCCAATATTCAGTTCTAGGTCACGTACCACCCCCATCAAGGGTCAAAATTTTGAATAATTATAACCCTCATGAAATGTAATGTAAGTGTCCGAATTTCTTCAAATTATGCACATTACAATATTTTTATTAACCCACGGTCTGGTGTGAAGACGGAATATATCGGTCCACTCCTTATGGTACCTCTCTCCAAAGAGGGTCAAAATTTTGAATACCCATGAAGCTCATGAAAGGCGAAATTAACATCCTATTCCCTTCAGACTTGGAAAATCTCAATACTTCCATCAACACAAGATCTGTTATAAAGATGGTAGAGATCATTCCTTCTGGTACCTCCCCCACAAAGGGTGAACGTTTTGAGTAACCACAAAAATCATAACATCCGAAATAATCATCCGATTCTCTTCAAATTACACACATCACAATATTTTTATTAACCCAATGTTTAGTGTGAAGATGGAATGTATCGGTCCACTCCTTCTGGGACCTCCCCCACAAACGGAATTTATTATTTCCCATAATTTTGGATCTAAATGGTCGATTTCCTTGTTATTTTGTCCATACCAATATTGATATTTGTATTAAATGAAGTATGAAGATGGAATACTCTGGTCGACTATATCTGGTACCTCACGCACATTTTAACATTTTCTAAAAAATATCACGTATCTCATAATGTTAATCGTTGGTCGTTCCAAAAATGGTGTAAACACCAATTTTGAAGAAGTACACTTCATATTATCCTTTTTACATTTATTTTCACACCCAACAAATTAGGACAAATTTTCGATTTTAAGTACAATCGGAATTTATATTTTCTATGGAAGATAAAAAACCTCTAGCCACCCTTTACTGGAAGCCATAATGTTTTTAAATACTATTCTTTAGTGACTGATGAGAAAAAAATTATGAATGTTTTTTTTTTTTGCGAATATTTGCTTTCAAGAAAATAGTTAGATTGTGAGCGTAGGTTTCTGCTAAATTCGACTCAGCTCGCCAATTTTCTTTATATCTTTTGTGGTGCAGTGCAAAACCACAAAGTCGTCATACAACTTTAAGATTTAGGTGCTTAATTGCTTTTTTTATCTAGCTGACGTTGGTTGAAATTAAAGCCATAGCTATTGTAGGTGTTACCATTTATGGCACATGCAAATACAGACATATATCATGGCTAATCTGTGTTGGTCAATTAGCACTAGCAAACGTTGTTTACTTTTCAAGCGGAAAGAAGAAAAGGCAAAGTCAACTCTTCTAAGCGGCATGTGTGGTGTAAAGATAAAGAACACATATGTATGTACTTAAGTATGTGGCATACATATATGATCACATATAGTAACGTTTTTTTGTTGATAGTAACAATATTTTGTTTCTTTCCTCTTCCTACTCTTCGTTTTCATATACTTATTATAATAACGAGTCCAATTCTAGCTGATAAGATCACAAATCGAACACTCTTTTTTTCTGCCGGGTACATATTTACTTTTTCCATTACTTATGGCCCTCAATACGCTAACAACAACCCAGTTGTTCAAACAAAAACAACCAACATTATTAGTGTATTATTGTCACAGTATTAGTTACGTCTACAAATGTTTTGGTTATTTATAAAACCTGGCTAAAATACTATTATTTTATGCATGAGTTTTCCACAAATTGACTTTTGATCTTAATACCCCCTCATACTAATTTATGTGAATTATTGAAAACAAGTTGCTTTGTTGTGGTATTTTTTCGGCTCATGGGATTCTAATTAGCCAATCAGTTAGTTGTTGCTGGTTCTTCCCTGAAGCTACAGTGCAAATTAAATTCAAAAATTTGAAAGTTAATGTTCAGAATAAAAAAAAAATACAGACGACACAACAAAGTTAGTCAGCCACCTAATAGCACCCAGTAGCAGCATCGTCTAACTCTTTGCAATGACTCACGTGTTTGTTGTGCAAAGAGGGGTGTTCTACCGCAATTTACATTAGCATTTGTGCGTATATTAATTTATTTCATATCAACATATACATATATCTGCGTGGGAACATGTTTGCCAAATCGTATATTTCTATACAGCTCGATTGTGTCCGTTCTATATACCAAGGAACATGTGCCACTTCTTGGCGTATATTTAAAATTAAAATCATTTTTTTCTCATAGGGTCAGAAAGTTTTTTCGAGGTTGTTTCTTCTTCCATTTTTTTTGGCAGAAGTTCAATTATTGGAAGATATTTGCAGAGATACATCATTAAGTGACATATTTTCGGTAATGCTTGGTATTTTAAAGATTGATTGATTTTTGTTTTGTAAAGCGGTCAAGCATTTTTTGCTGAGCATTTGGGCACATGTCAGTCCGTGTTATAAGATTTTCTATTAGATTCCACTATTTCTAGAGGGCAGGTGGTGGTGTGTTTTTAAAGAAGGCAGATGTTTTTTTTTTTAATATTTAAAAAGGACCTGTTAATGTTTTTTACAGCTGTTTCCTGTGGGGACAACGTTCATAGATATATGCTTATAGGTGATTGCGACATTGTCTGTCCCGCTCTTTCTGTGTACACAAATAGTGCAACAAATAAAAGGGGTAAAATGCAAAAGGAAATTGGTGGTTCGTTGACATTTTTTTTTTTTCATATCCAGTTTATGATAGTCCAACAGGTGTTATTGCTCCAAAGAAATTTCTCTAACATCATTTGATATCACAAAAGGGTAGATTTTATGTAAAAAATTAACTCTTTTTCAAAGGCAGCACTACAATTACTTGCATGAATCTATTATTTTACCAGAGGAAAGGAACAAAGTCATCTTTAATGCCGTTGTCTTAAAAGACTAACCCGACAAATTTGATCGAGTAGGAAATAGGCCTAGATTTTCTGCTTCTATTTCAGTTATAATATTGTTACTAGATTTCATTCCCGCCTTTTTTGTTATATGTTCTTTGAGCAAAGCTTTCGAGCGTGTCATTATTTTATAATGTTAGAGGACTCCGATTACTCATCAACAGTGTCGTGTTAATACCTGTTATGTTACAGTCGCTTATCCGATTCCACAATGCAGGATTTGCTGTTATATAGCCCTACTGTTGCTAACAAGTAGTATATCTTAAATTCCTATAGTTCCATATTATGGTATATACCACGTCTAATGAAACTTCTAATATTTGGTATTTGGATAATATAGCCATATTTTCCAACATTTGGTAGTTAAACTTTGAACCCTCCGTTTGGTGTTTCTTTGCGCTTAAATTGAATTAGTGGGGCGAAAATATTGCCCTAGAATATTGCCCTACACATTTTGCTAGTCCAACGAAGGTTTCTTGAATTAGTTCTGAAATGGTTTGTAGGGATTTATCTTCAAGGCCTCATCTTTTGATTTCCTTCACACACTATAAGCATTGTCCTAAGTGACGAAGTTCGAAATGAAAACCTCTTCAATAAATGTTTGGAATAAATTTGAAATTATCGTTATCTGAGATGCCTGTGGAGAAAATCTTCCATCTTTATAAGAAATCTTGTGTTGATAGAAATATTGAGATGTTCCAAGTCTGAATGGAATTGGATGTAAATTTCGCGTTTTATGAGCTTCATGGTTATTCAAAATTTTGACCCTTGGTGGTGTGTTCCGATATTGTGAGAATTTTCAGGAAAAAAGTTGTTTGTAATGGAATTCAAGCGTGATGGTGTGATTTCTTTATATTTGGCTGGAAAACCACAAGTGGCTATCGTTAGAGCACTCCAGCATTTAAATGTGAATAAATCTTTTGTGTCTCGTAAAATCGCTCGTTACCGTGATAACTGGTAGCGTAGCCCGACGTCAAGGAAGTGGACGGAAGAAAACAGCAACATCAACAGAAATGGTTTAAAAAGTAAAAAAAGCGTCTTTATCGAAACTCGCGTCGCAGTGGCCGAAAATGGCTCATGAGCTGAACGTATCGTAATATTTCATTCGGCAAATATTGAAAAATGAGCTCGAGGCAAAACCATTGAAATTCCAAGAAGTGCAAGAACTTACACCACAACGGAAAGAAAATAGACTCAAAAGAGCTTAAGAGTTGCTTCGCTTGGCCGAAAGTGGTGAACTGCCGAAGAGGTCAGCTGAAAATGTGCACTTTGTTTGGCCACCAGAACTCAAGCGCTGGACATGGTGATGGTGTGGGCCGCCATAACGACCGTGGCATCCGAATAAATGCCGAATATTATCACGAAAATATTCTGGAGGGTGTATTAAAGCCTTGGGCACGCAAACATTTTGGCCGCAGACCTTGGACATTCCAACAGGACTCAGAGCACCATCGCACTCAGCACGCGCCACCCAAGAATGGTTACAAAATGAGGTTCCTCCCTTCATTTTCAGCGCACAATGGCCACCAAAATCTTCGGTTACCAATTCGTTGGACTACT